GTCACCCGACCTTTGTCCATTTTACTGTAAACTTTCTGTTCTAATTTAATTTAATGTTTCTAGCTGCATAAATGGAGAAGATATAACAAAAAATCTCATATCTGAACAATCAGTTGTATGGGGGCTATAGGTTATAGCGCCCAAATCTTCACCATTTTCTCTGTGCTTATTCTTTTTGATAATATGTGGAAATAGTAAGAAATTTCATGTTCCCGGCTGTATAAATGGAGGAGTTATAATAAAAATTCTCATATCTGAAAACTCATCCTTGTTATTTTCACTGTAACTATTCTGTTAATAATGAGTGAAAACGGTGCGAAATTTCATGTTCCTAGCTGCATAAATGGAGGAGTTATAATAAAAATTCTCATATCTGAAAACTCATCCTTGTTATTTTCACTGTAACTATTCTGTTAATAATGAGTGAAAACGGTGCGAAATTTCATGTTCCTAGCTGCATAAATAGAGGAGTTAAGATAAAAGACCTGTTATCTGAACAATCAGTTGTATGGGGGCTACCGGTTATAGTGACCCGATCTTTGTTATTTTCACTGTANGTTATCTGAACAATCAGTGGTATGGGGGCTACCGGTTATAGTGACCCGATCTTTGTTATTTTCGCTGTAAGTCTTCTGTTGATAATGAGTGAAAACAGCGCGAAATTTCATGTTGCTAGCTATATAAAAGGAGGAGTTATAACGGAAAATCTTATATCTGAACAATCAGTTGTATGGGGGCTACCGGTTATAGTGACCCGATCTTTGTTATTTTCACTGTAATTACCCTCCAGCACTGCTGGAGCCAATCGCTACTTTTGAACCGCTACTGCACCGACTCATGGTAGTGCAGAGTCGAACCAGTCGGAAGCAAGTGACTACTTTAGTAACTCCCGGTAGTGCAGAGAGCCGATGGTGACTACCACCTAGGACATTGCCTTGTAAAAGTAATCGCTGAAATACACTACAAGTAGTCGGTCGGTAATTGACGGAAATTACCATGTAGCTACCGATTCATCAGTCCTGTAGTCGCGCCCCCGTACTGCAGCGTATTCTGTTGATAATGAGTGAAAACAGCGCGAAATTTCATGTTGCTAGCTATATAAAAGGAGGAGTTATAACGGAAAATCTTATATCTGAACAATCAGTTGTATGGGAGCTATAGGTTATAGTTACCCGTTCTTTGTAATTTTCACTGTAAGTTTTCGGTTGATAATTATTGAAAACAGTGCGAAATTTCATGTTCCTGGTTATATAAATGGAGGAGTTATAACGAAAAATCTTATATCTGAACATTCAGTTGTATGGGAGTTATAGGTTATAGTGACCCGATCTATGTAATTTTTACTGTAAGTATTTTGTTGATGATGGGTGCAAGTATTGCAAAACTTCATGTTCCTAGCTGCATAAATGGAGAAGTTATGATGAAAAATCTCATATCTGAACAATCAGTTGTATGGTTGCTATATGTTATAGTGGTCCGATTCTTCTGGTTCCGACAAATGATTGATACAATATAAAAATAACCCACTTACCAAATTTCATTCGGATATCTCGAAAACTGAAAGCCTAGAGTGCATACAATCAGACGGACAGACAGATAGACGGACAGACAGACATTGCCAAATCGACTCAGCTCGACGTTCTGATCATATAAGTGTACATTTTAATGGGTCTATCTCTTTTTATTCTGGTACTTACAAACATCGGACCCAAGTTATAATACCATTTCATGCTCATGAAAAGTATAACCAGGGGCAAATATTTATTAACAAAAAAATTCAATTTGTTTTTTTAGGGTTCTGTTGAGAGTTCTGAATAGTCCCTCGAGAGTTCTAGCTAAAACTCTTATAAAGTTTTTTTTTTGTCCGACCAATAGTAAAAAAGTTAAAAGCGAAAAGAATGGGCGAATTTTTATTAAGAAAAAATTTTTATTTGTTTTTCAGAGTTTTGTTGAGAGTTCTGAGTACCCCCTTGAGAGTTCTACCCAAAACTCCTTAAATTTTTTTTGTCCGGCCAATATTAAAAAGGTTATAAGCAAAAACAAGGGGCAAATTTTTATTATCAAAAAAATTTAATTTGTTTTTTTTTTCAGAGTTCTGTTGTGAGCTCTGAGCGGCTCCTCGAGAGTTCTAACTAAAACTCTTATAAAGCTTTTTTGTCCGACCAATACTAAAAAAGTTATAAGCAAAAACAAAGGGTAAATTGTTATTAAACAAAATTTCATTTATTTTTCAGAGTTCTGTTGAGAGTTCTGAGTAGCCCTTTGAGAGTTCTAACTAAAGCTTTAATAAAGTTTTTTTGTCCCACCTATAGTAAAAAAGTTATAGATAAAAACAAGGAATTTTTTTTAACAAAAAATTTCAGTTTGTTTTTCAGAGTTCTGTTGAGAGTCCTGAGTAGCCCTCTGAGAGTTCTAACTAAAATACTTATAAAGTTTTTTGTCCGACCAATAGTAAAAAAAGTGATAAACGAGGGGTGAATTTTTATTAACAAAAAATTGCATTTGTTTTGCAGAGTTCTGTTGAGAGTTATGAGTAGCCCTTTGAGAGTTCTACCTAAAACTATACAGTTTTTTGTCCGACTAATAGTAAACCAGTTATAAGCAAAAACAAGGGGCAAATTTTTATTAACAATCAAATTTTATTTGTTTTTCGGAGTTCTGTTGAGAGTTCTGAGTAGAAGTATAAGCAAAAACAAGGTTCGAATTTTTATTATTATCGGTTTTAGCTGTCCAAATAAAGGAGTTTTGCAGTAAAATCCCATATCTGAACAACAAGTTGTATGGAGCCAATAAATAAGTAAATAAATAACTCAGGGGCTACTAAGAACTCTCAACACAACCCTGAAAAAAATTAAAATCTTTTCAACAATTTTTTGTTGAGCTTGAGGCCGTTTATAATGAAAAACTTATTGCGGAAACATTAAATTTTTTGTTAATAAAAATTTGCCCCTTGTTTTTGCTTATAACTTTTTTACTATTAGTCGGACAACAAAACTTTATAAGAGTTTTGATTAGAACTCTCAGGGGGCTACTCTGAAAACAAATAAGGTAAGCGGTGACAGAATTAGGTAAAATTTCTCAAATAAAAAATTTTGGAGTTTTTGCAGAACAATTTACAAAACCGTTTCAGAACTCTAGAACTCTTTATCGTACACTGGAATAAGGCATTAGAACTCTTTTTCCTGGAAATAAGGTGGCGGCGTGAAGTTGGCCCCCAAATCGTTTTTTTCTATTTCTGCCCGGAACTATTGTAATTTCCAGTCAGGAACTTTAGAACTCTTTAAAATCTAGCCAGAACTCTAAAAAATTACACATTTGTCGAAATTTCGGGCGCCAACTTCACGGGAGTGTGCCCTCGGGTATAAATGATATTTAACTAATAAAAATATTGTAGAAGTAATTTCAGCAAACTAAATGCAACCCAGAGGGAAGTAATGGCGGTTTATGGTAAATCACCCGAGCTTGGTCAAAAATTTCCTGCCGAAATGACCATTAACTAGTATTTTTATCATTTAATATTGAATTTAACAAAAAATCGTCAGTTACCAACCTGACGTTCAGAGATTTTAAATGCATTGATAAAATAGCACTGAATGATGAAAGTCTATCACTGGAATGGAACTCTTGCTGGTTCTTCTCGAATCTGGATATAAATCAGATCAGGATTGGACAGATTTTTGGCTCTTAAAGCGGTCAAAGAGCCAGCAACTGCTACACAGGAAGTAAAGCAGTCCCTAGGGTAAAGGGGTTATAAAAAATACATTAAAAGAATCATATGTATATATTAGTAATGAGAGTCGGAGTACAAGAAATTTTATTACGCTCTTCTTACCCCTTCATGCTGAGTTTTGATATCACCCCTCATCTAGCACCTAAATGTGCCAGTCCGGCTCCTAAGTGCAAAAGGCTCCTGGGAACCACTTTGCCCATCTCTGAATTATATCAATTTAATAAAGTGGTAAACTATTTGTATGATAAATATGTTCCTCTACGTACTATAAAAGTGAATGATTATAAGAGACCGTGGTTCACAAAGCCCATTCTTAATCTTATGAAGGATCCAGGTAAGGCCTATAAATATTGGAAGCAGTATCCTTCTGACGGGCGTTGGAATGCATATAACAATTTAAGAAATAAAGTAGCAAAAGAAATGCGTTACTATAAAAGAGTTCATCTGGAAAATAAGCTTGATACAACCCTGTAGTCAAATGTACTAATTGTAAACGACCTCACAACTTGTATGAACCGCATGGCCAACTAGTCAGCCAACTATTTCTCTCCATGACAATCAACTGGTATTTTTAACATGGGGATGTCCTACGAGATGGCAATTGTCAGATTTCGGTCAGAAATATACCAGTCTCATATTAGTTCAAAATAGACAGAAAAATACTAGTCCAATTTTGGACCAAGACAACCACTTGGGAGTCAACAAGTTAGTTGAATTCACGAATATACAATAAAACACTTTTGATTAGCAGCCTTAGAATATTCTTTACCTATTGAACGGAATAGAAGTATATGCACATATGTACATACATACATAGGTATGTATACATAATCACATATGTACATCTAATTTATAAAAATCTCATGTCACGGTGTTTGTGGTCGAACTCCTCCTAAACGGCTCGACCGACTTTGTATGCATATACGTTTTTGGTCATGAAGAAAAATTGGGGTCTATTAAAAAAGGGGCGCGGCACCTCCCATACAAACTCAATTTTTTATACTGCATATCACGGAAAATGTTCATGGAAGAGGACTCGAACATGGTATATAGAATATAGATATATGAAAGCAATCGCATACTCATGCAGAAAATTGTGGTGACCGGAAAACAAAGTCGGATTTTTCATACTGCATATCTCTGGAAGTGTTCATGGTACAGTACTCGAACATGGTACGGAGATTTATGAAAACAAGCGCATACTCATGGAGAAAAATTGCGGTTATTGGAAGGGGTGCAGGCACGAATTTTTCATACTGCATATCTCCGGAAGTGTTCATGGTAGAGTACTCGAACATGGTATGGAAATATGTGAAATCAATCCCATACTCTCAGAGAAAATAGGGTCTATTTGAAAAGAAGGTGTGGCGCCTTTCAATCTCACTGATACTATTACGTATCTTTGTATGCATATACATACACCTTTGCTAGGTTATTTAAGACGGAAATAGAAATATGCCTTCTGACAACCACAAAACCGTAATATTACAAGATAAATGCATGACTGAATATCATCAGCGTGAACTGCTGGTGAAAATGTTGGGCCAAAAGGTTTCAATACAAAAATTCATTTTGGGCGGGACGAAGTTCGCCGGGTCTGCTAGTACATATGTAAAACGTAGCGCTGATCAACCGTGGTCAAAGCAAACGTGAATTTTTGGCTTCTATCGAAACCAAATACGGAAAGTACATACTCTCATACAAAGCACTGCTACTGCATTTAGCCGCGCTAGGGCAGTACAGTGTCTCAAGAACGTAAAGTAGCACAGTGGGACAACATAAATAAAAATTGAATACAATACAAATAAATAGGTAGAAACATTTATATTTGTTCATATTCTGCCATCTATCTCCCGCAATCATTATTAGTTACCAAAGTGTGGGACCCTTATATAAAGAATTTAGGTTTGAATGCCATAAATTGGATTTATGTTGCCAAAAATGGTCATCATGCTCACCAAGGAACCTCTCAGCGTCGCTGTTAAAGGTAAAAATCAACGTTTTAGACAAACACTGGGAAAGTTGATTGGCTTCTTTCAACTTTCTCTCAATCCCGCACTACTCTGAAGCTAGTAACTCCGCAAAGCTAGTATTTGAAAGATCCTCTACTAAATATACTAGTTGCAAAGCTGAAATGGTTGAAGCATTGGACGCCCTCAATTCCAACTCAGCAACTCCGTAAATCCCAATACCTACACCTAATCCGTCGCAACCTTCAGACCCCAATGAAGGTCACCCAATTATGCAGTCCACTATTCAGGTGTCTTCCCCCACAGACACAGCCTGAAAATATCCCCCTATAAATTCCATTCCAATGAACTCAAATAGCGCAGAATCCTCCAATGATTCTCTAAAGTGCTTCCGAACTCAACCCTCTTCCAACTTTCATCTACCCCAAAAAGTGTCAGACGCGGTAACTTCCGGCCGGCAGGGGCTCTACCGCCGATGCAAGCTCGGCAGAAGCCATCAACTCTCAACCCCGAAGATGTTGAAAACTGTTCAAACTTTGGTAAAACCACAAATACGTCAGCTTCAAGACCAACATGCCCTCTACTACAAACCACGTTCGATCCCAGCAGCAACCACAATGGCCTACAATGTCATCACCTTCATCAACACAGGAACAGCAGGAAAAGCTGTGGTTAGATTGAAGCTTCTTACCGACGCTTATTACACACTTTTTGCTTCAACTCTGAGGCAAAAGGACACCCAGACGTCAACTTCATTTCGGTACACAAGTGACCATAGTCACCAACAAATGCACAAGAGAAGTCACACCCAACTGGTTGCGAGAGGACCAGTGTCGATTTATCCCCCATACATCCCAAAAGTGATGTTACACTCCAAAGTCGAAGGGCGTACCTACAGGAGAATGTCTGTAGGAATTTCTCTGTACCTAAACCCTTATTGAATCATAATCCATCCACTTTGAATGGGCGTTATCATTCTCCACATTGGAAGTGTGGACGCTTTACGGGGCCTTCTCCTACACCCGAAGCATATCCCACAAATAAACCTCCTATCACCAATTATATACGCATGCTCCAAGCTCACCCACTTTCTCACGCAATATCTCTCTCAAACACGAATTTAGCTAAATTCACATCACTCGTGCTTCAAAACTAACTCATTTTACGACTCTTTTTCCACAGGCTAACCAAGATGGGTCGCAGTTCTAGTGAAGGGTCTCCACTCCTCTTTTTCCAGGGATCCCAGGTCAGTCCGTATGAAGAACAAATAAAACGGTATCCCTACTGCCTTAACTGCCTGGCTACGTTCCACACAACCGGGTATGCAATACGTTCGACCGCTGCGATAACTGTGGTAAGGCACCCCACACTATACTCCGTCGCTCAAAAAGTATTAAGTATTTGGTAAATGAAATGTAATCTCTGTATATGTACTTCTTAATATTGCAACCTTGTATCTTATATCGTAATTTAAGTGACGAGTCGCTTTGGTTTGTAAACGACGGTGTGGGGCGACCCGACCGCGCCAGCCTATAGGCAGTCAACTCGCGACCGCCCCCGCACTCATTTGTAAATTTGAACTCATCAGCTAAGCTCCTCTGGCAAACAATAACACATGAACTCAGTTTCGCTCAAACAATTAGCTTAAGTTAAAAGAAATACATATAACTTTGTATATTCACCAAATAAATGAAATGAATTAAACGTATAATACTATATATACACACTTATAATTAAATCCTCTCTTTTCTTTAAATTGATTGGCCGGTGCACCCTGCACCCGCCCCAAAGTTCGAACCCTAAGTTTTAAACAGTACCGACTGTCACGTTTAGGTCTTTCCACAGTCAGCGATTGGTGGGTCCCATGTCGCAAACGGCCGCTACTACTGGGAAACCTATATTTCGTAATATCACAATTATTGAAAATGAGATAAACTTAGTCATTACGCAGTTGTAATCCAAAAATATAGGCTGCTTTCACCATTTCCTCAATCCATGTGCCATAACGACTTGGACATAGTTCGCAGGCTTTATTACGAAGTCTCCCGGCTGATCATACTCGAAAGACTCCGCGACTTTCCTCTCATCGAATGAGAGAACGCAAATTTTTTCGCCTTTCGAAAGATTGGGCCTGTGTTGCATAATCTCGATGGCTGCGGTAATGATGCCTTCGTTCACATCTTTTCGGTACCAGCCAGGGAACTGCAATTATTCATATTTTTAAGTAATTGGTTGAATAACACAAGAAATAGTGTTAGTGGATATTATTCATTGCAGAATATTCACACATATGCACTAACACTATTTTACGCTCGGCACACAAAGCGAGAGCATGTACAATGACTAAGTTCTCTGTTGATATGAATTAGTGTAGTGCTCCATTCTCTCATTGAGCCATTAAGCAAATTAGTTATCAGTGTTCCCATTTTAGCCGTTTTCCGGATAGATTTAGCCGGTTGCGATAGCAAACAGCCGGAGAAATTTCGATTTAGACGGCAGCCGATTTGTTAGCCGTTTTNAGATAAACTTAGTCATTACGCAGTTGTAATCCAAAAATATAGGCTGCTTTCACCATTTCCTCAATCCATGTGCCATAACGACTTGGACATAGTTCGCAGGCTTTATTACGAAGTCTCCCGGCTGATCATACTCGAAAGACTCCGCGACTTTCCTCTCATCGAATGAGAGAACGCAAATTTTTTCGCCTTTCGAAAGATTGGGCCTGTGTTGCATAATCTCGATGGCTGCGGTAATGATGCCTTCGTTCACATCTTTTCGGTACCAGCCAGGGAACTGCAATTATTCGTATTTTTAAGTAATTGGTTGAATAACACAAGAAATAGTGTTAGTGGATATTATTCATTGCAGAATATTCACACATATGCACTAACACTATTTTACGCTCGGCACACAAAGCGAGAGCATGTACAATGACTAAGTTCTCTGTTGATATGAATTAGTGTAGTGCTCCATTCTCTCATTGAGCCATTAAGCAAATTAGTTATCAGTGTTCCCATTTTAGCCGTTTTCCGGATAGATTTAGCCGGTTGCGATAGCAAACAGCCGGAGAAATTTCGATTTAGACGGCAGCCGATTTGTTAGCCGTTTTGCAGAAAAAAATTAGCCGTTTTTAGCCGATTTTGCTATTTGCCTTGTTTTCTTAAATTTCAAATATGTATATATGTTTCCATTTTTGACTAAGCGACACGAAATCTGTTAGAAATGGCTACTAGCCTTATCGTGAAGAACATTTTCATGTCAGGCAGGGCTGTATGAAATTGGGCCGATTTCGCTTATTTTTATTTTAAACGAAGAAGGGATTTTCTTCATAAAATGTTTGTTATAAATGTCTTAGTTTTAAGTGTGAAGTTTTATTCGCAAACTTAGAAAATAAGAAATTATTTCACTGTTAAGACACTTAAGATGCGTTTGTGTTTGGTGCCAACAAACAGAATAAATATTACATGTAGATATTGTCTTCCCAGATAGCGCATATTCAATTCTGCCTAATTTACAAAACATCATTTTTGCCCACTCCCAAAGGTTTAAGGTAAGGGAAAAATTGATATTTGCAAGCTTTATTTACACATATGTATTTTTTTAAACAAACTTTTTTGCTGAGACTTATTTAAATTCCAAAAACCGAATGCCAACTTGAATTAAAGGAACCAACACTGAAGTGAATCAAAATGAAAATAAAAGAGCACAAATTTCTATGTAAAGCAAAACTCTCTGGGAATCCTACGAGACATCTGCCGGTCATATGACCGGTCATCTAAATGGGAGATCTGCAGCCTTTTGGCATCATATTTTACATCAGAGTTAAAGGGATTTCTGAAAAATCTGACCAGTTTTGTTGTGTAACTGTGAATTTGCATCCCTTGTCAACATATGGCCTCGGTTGATGTTAACTTAAGGTCGTTGTTTTACTGCCTTAAAATTGAAGGGAAATTTTTACAGCGTTTTTTATGTGTATTGGTTTCTATTTGTGTGTATTGAGAATCGTTCAGTCTGAAAAGGCCTTGTAGGGAAGATAGTAGGTTTGTTCGTCGAAAATCCAGCGAGAATTATCATTCAAAATATCAGATAGTAAGAAAAAATGCTCCCAAATTCTCTCTCATGTAGAGAAACTTGGAATTTTCTGTACGAACGCAAATTTGCAAGTTTTTCTGCCAGCTGGTGTCCACGGTTGCATTTCAAACAAAAGAAATTTGTATAGCATTTTTAAAATTCTTTCAGAGGGGCAAAAAACAGGATCTACGTGTATATATCTGGTCAGTCCGACTTTCTTCAACATACGTTTCCATTTCTTTGTCGGGTTTACTATATCGACTCTGGTTGAGATTGCATTCCGATTAAGAATACAGTTTTTTTTTGCCGAGTACCTTTCAAATCATTGGAATTAACTAAATTAATTAAGTAAACAAGTATTAACTTACATTTTTCATTTTAAAATCGCTCCAGTTTGTAAATTTTTAAATTTAAGGAACTTGTTTATTCAAATTATCGTCGACAAAAAATCCAACCATGTGCCACAATCATATGTTTTTCCTAATTGCAAAGTCTTGCTGGCAAAATTTTTTCCGGCTCGAATTTGTAACTTCTCTCCAAGAAATAGTCTTTTTACTCGTGATTTATTTAAACAAACCATGTGAAATTTAGTTGAAACATTTTAGCCGTTTTTAGCCGGTATTTTTTGTCAATTTAGCCGGTTCGTCCAAAAAGTTCTGGCAACACTGTTAGTTATACCGAAATGAGTAGGAGCACTAAGAAGCACCAATAGTTCAGTTGAGTGATTTTAGTGAATTTAGTGATTTTCGTCGTTTATACCAACAAAACATGTGAACACGACGAGAAAGCGACAGCATGCGAAGGCGCACTAACACTCTCTGACTTTTAGTTCACACTTCCCAGCAAACATTTGGAGTCATAAATGAATATTTAAGGAGTCTCATTTCGGAGCCTTTATGCTCATAATGATATCATTTAAGAGTCCGAAATGAAGGTGTTTCCCTTCCTGCGAAGGTCGACCTACACGAGCTTAAATTCATACATCAAATGAGCTTCAATATGAGTCATATTGGACTCATATACAGTTCATTTTGGACTCTTTTTGAAGCTCTTTAATGACTCTTATTGGCCTCATAAATGCCTACTTTCGGAATCTTTTTTTATGCTGTTCTGTAAATCTTATTGGCCTTATTCTTCGACTCTTATTGAACTTACTTTAGAGCCATGTTTGCAAAGAATTCATTTCAAATACTGTTGCATACATATATTTGTATATTGCAGCATTCATGTAATATCAGCTGCTGCAGCTAAATTTTGTTTATTTTTTTCTTCCTAATTATTTTTCATATCTGTATAAACAACTTTAGATATAAATTTCGAGTCGTTATTGTTTTTATACTGGCACAAAGTGCTTTCTCATAACTTGGATCATATATGACTCCTAAAAGATTCATATAAGAGTAACAAATTTTTTGTTTTTGAAACTCTTATTTTCTACCTATTTCCTACTCCTTTCGGACTTATATATTCTGAGCGCTCAAAATATGTTTGCTGGGTTGTTTATGGTGGCGCCCGCATGTCGCACAGTGTTGGGAAATGAAATAGTTCCTTCAGTACGAAATCTATACAAAAACTATACTTTTCGACTGTAAATTGCATTGACTTTTTAATTTGCTCATATATTTTCTTAGTACATGCCTACATAGATTCCCTTCAAGATCAATGATTTGATGGTATTCATGGGATGTAGGTACATTTTGCTCTTTGAACATAAATGTGTATGCACATATTTTAAGGTACACTTATTAACAAACAAATTTTTTTTAAGTTATTATGCATGGATAAAGGAGACATCTTCTTTGAATTCAGTACTAAAGTTTGACATTTTATTTTTAGTATTTCATGTGCTTATCAAAACTTTACGACACTCACATATTGACAAGATTGGCCATTTATCTTAAAATTATTTAATTTTAATTATTTGTTTATAAAAATGCAGTTTATACTTTAATAAAACCCCAAGGTTAAATTTTTGCGCAACATTAAAAAAATCATTACATTAAAAAAACTTTCGTAAAAATTTCGGGCTTTCAACTAGATTTCCTAGAAATACATGTTTTGAGAATGCCGTATGTAGTCCGATCAATTTAAATGAAGTGCAAGTTTAAAATAGCTGCGACTTATCGTTGATTTTTAATATATATATATATATATATTTTTTTTTTTGATGAAGCTGTTGCTCATTTTCTTCGTTAAAAGAAAAAAAACGCATTTAGTTAATATGACATGACGGCAAATTCCAACTGCTTTAAACTTGCACCTTATTATACTAAAATTGAAATAGAAAGCTCGAAACGTTTACGAAAGTTTGTCGATTTTTTAATGTTGTTCAAAGATTTAAACTTATTTTCATACAGTTTTTGTTAAGGAATTAACTATATTTTTATAAACAAATAATTAGAATTAAAAAATAATAAAATAAATAGTCATTTCTAGTCAATATATGAGTGTCGTGAAGTTATGATATTTAAGAACATAAAGAATTAACGATGACACTGTTTCTAAGTATATGAAGCTGATTTCGACATTTTGTTTTAATAAGATTTAGTATCGAAAATATTCTTTCAAAACTTGCCTAGGAATGTAAGGTTGATAGCACACCTTTTGCTATGTTATAATGGTTATTTAAAACCCTTTTACTTACA